GCTACTTGCATAAGAAATTAGTTATGCTTTACGGTCTATGATTATAATGGTATCCCTCACTCGGGTGTTGTTCAATTCAAAATGCATAGAAAGTAATGCAAAGATATGACTTTTTTTCACACCGAACCTACTAGCATTTTATTAAAAAACATACATATATATATGTAATTCTTTATTTTTTTGGCTTTATAATTCTTGAGTCTGTAATTTTTTGTTTTTTTGTAGTTTGTAATTGCTACTTGCATAAGAAATTAGTAATGCTTTACGGTCTATGGTTATAATTAGTAATGCAAAGATATGACTTTTTGGTCACACCGAACCTACTAGCATTGGCCAGGTTGTACAGCATGAGTTATTATGATTGCAATGTATGTTATATCTATCACGCACTCTTCTGTAACTAATATTGTACTAAGTCATTTCTATTGGTCAGCTGATATTGTACTAAATAATGGATCTACGTTTTTTTTTTTTTTCATCCGAATAATTATATACGAGCCAAATATTCACATAATTACAAGGCCCAAAGACCAAGGACATAAGCCCATTACCCTTCAAAAAAGCTTCCCGCTACTAAAAAAGGAAGAAAGCGGAGGCAAAAGCTCCGGGATCAAAAAACCTAAGCGCCCAAAATATGGTTCAACCACTTTGAGTAGAGATAAACTAGTTTCTATCAAACTCAAAACACTCCCTTAACAAGAGAGGGAACCCTGAAGCCACATAAGATTGGCGACGATCCTCAGTAATAACACTCCTAGCAATTCGGATAGCCCCAAGATTTGAAGAGACATCTTCAACCTGCAAATCCCACATATTAATAACCTGGAGGACTCGAGCTACCTCTGTTGCATAATAAGTGAAGGAAGGCCAAGCAGCAGGTCTTATCACTGCCTCCAACAGATCAATTGCATCCGAAGCAAAAACCACATTTGATACTCTCAAGCTGCCCATACTCTCAATGGATCTACGTTTGCTTGTAGAAGTAAAACATTTATTTTAAACATGGTAACAATTAAGTATTGCGATTTTGTTATTATGGGTGAAATTATAATACAGAGCTTTGAAATATGTACAGGCTAAAAGCCCAATAG